GCCTCAGCACTGCTGGCATTTCAGGTTGGACAAGGTTGTGCTTTCAAGGTGTCGTGGGTGCTGTAGGGTACTGAGCACCCCTGACCTCTGCCCATGCAGTGTCACCAGCACCCTCCCCTTCCCCTGAAAATTCCTGCAGAAATGGCTAAGCATCCCCTGGGTGTCAGAGTGATCCCTAGAAGAGAACAGCTAGCATAGATCCTCCTTTCACAGATAAGGAGACGCAGGCCAGGAAAGTTCCGGTGCTCAAGGTCTCTTCGCCCAGAAACTGCAGAGCTCAGGTTCTAGGTCCAGGGCCCATGCAGCTGACCTCAACACAGGGGTCCCAAGGAGGGCGCTGTGTTCTATTTACTGCAGTAACCACAGATTTATTTTGATGGATGTTTAATACGTATGTAGTAGAAAAAAAGTCAAATTTGCCTGTAATTTCCTAGGATAAAACTAAAATGAAATGGAGAAAGTTCTCTCTCTCTCTCTCTCTCTCTCTCTCTCTCTCTCTCTCATTCTTCCTCTTGCTCTCTTTCTCTTTCTCTCTCTCTCTGAAAAAGAGTAGTAGAAGTAACAAAATGACACACACAGTAAGACATCAAAACAGAGACAGTTTGTTTAGGCGCTATTGATTCAGACATTTCATCTGTATGATTCCCAATTTCTTCTGTGCTAGTGTCCTCTGCACTTGTTCTGGATGGGCTCGGGGCCTGAGATTGCATTTTGCTCCTTCTCTTTGTCATTTGGTGTGGCACTGTCCTCTGACCTTTGGTGTAGAGCTTTGGTGCAGTTATAACCTTAGCACCTACTGAAATTCAGGTGCAGATCTATTAAGTTTGAGTTCACTCAGTTGTACCTGGCTTGGATCTGGCTGCTGTACTCAGCTCCTTCCTGTTGCAGCCCTTGGAAGTGAACCTGTTGTGCCCCTCTGGCAAAATGTTCTGCTCCTGGATTAGTTGGGTTGTTCTGGTCTCTAGTCTCTCTGCAGGGACTTCAGCTGCAGAGTTTCACCCCAGGCCTGTATGCCAGGTCTGGGGCTGGGTCTGGAGTGGTCCCGAAAGTGTGGTGGAAGTTCTTACTCACAAGCTGGGCTTGGGCTGGGTCCGGAGGGGTTCAGCGGGTGCAGGGGAGCACAGAAGCTCTCCCACACACTTGCAGGGCCTGGGCTTGGGCTGGGTCTGGAAGAATTCCGAGAGTGAAGCAGAAGGTCTCACTCATGCAGCGGGCCTGGGCTTGGTCTGGAGAGGTCCAGTGGGCACAGGGGAGCATAGAAACTCTCCCACACACTCCCTGGGCTTGGGCTTGGGCTGGATCTGGAGGGGTCCCAAGAGCACAGCTGACAGTTTGTTTAGGGATGCACACATTTCTATTAAGAACTATACACAAAAGCAAAGAAATGGGAGAAATGGGAAGAAAAATCCTGCCACAGTGAGCTCTAAGGTGGTGAAGAACACTGGAAAGTGTTGGTGTGGCTGCTCCCTGTGCTGTTCCTTAGCCTAGGTGGTAGGCTTGCAGGTGTCTATTGGCTTATGGTTCATAGAGTACATGTAAACTAGGCCTACTTTTCTGTGTATCAAATATTTCACCTCATAACGTGACTAGTATTTTTCTCTTGTGGTGAATGCAAATCAAGACACTGAGACTCAAGAGTTAATAGTATTAAAAGCACGGGGTAGGGGCCGGGGAGATGGCTCAGTAGAATAAGCGCTTGCCTGGCAAGCATCAAGGGTCTGAGTTCAATCCCCAGTTCTGAAGAAAAAAAAAAAAAAAAAAAGCACAGGGTATGTTGGGCAGAACTAGAGCAGAAGCATAAAGAAGTGGAACAACCGAGGCTGACGATCCAGCATTGGGCCAGCTTCTCTCACCTCCTAAGCTGGCCTGTACAGGCGCCAGAGCTCTCCAGCCACCTGCCACCCCCAGGGTCCACCAAGGAGCCTTGCACACAGTAAACAATCCGTAAATGCTTGCCAAGTTCAAAACTGAGTCCCGATCTGGACCCTTCCACTCACAGCTCTGTGAACTTGCACTACAGCCAACAAATTCTTAGGGAGCATTTGTAAGGTGCCACTCCCGATTTGGGTGCTATGGGTGCAGAGATAATTTTCAGAACTGATCCCTGTCCTTCTGTGCTCACATATTCTTGGCAGCAATAGGCATGCATATATGCCTCTGTGTGTGTGTGTGTGTGTGTGTGTGTGTGTATGTGTGTGTGTCTGTCTGTCTGTCTGTCTGTCTGTCTGTCTCTGTGTCTCTCTGCTTATGTGGTAATTACCCATAACTTATGGCAAAATCATGTGCAGACCTGTGGATGGGTTGACCAGCACTCCAAAAAACAACAGGACCACTTCAGAGGAGAGGATCTTAAGGCTGTACTTGAAACTAGGGTTGGAATTTACTAGAGAGTGAGAAGCTCAGGTACAAAATTGACCCACAATGGTGATGGTATGTGGCCAGAAAAGTGTGACATTTGGGGAACTGGAGAGATGGTCAGATGTTATATCCCACACAGCTCTCCATGGTCCCAGGGCAGATGAAGAAAATAAAGACAGGAGACAAAAGCTGAGGTCAGGTGGAGACCTCTCTCCTGATGAGAGAAGGGGAATTGAAGAACCACCATTATTTATACTTTTAACAAAATTAATATCATACAACACAGGACTGCCTAGCAACTAATAACTGGTATTGTCTTGGGCAAAAGGTTTTTCTCAGGACTGAGGGAGCTTGATTGCTTTAGGTATTTTGGCCCTGTCTTGTCCCCATACTTGTGACAGTTTCCAGCTTCAGCCACTCCCTCCAGTCAGAGGCAGGTAGAAGGGACTTGACAATCATATGTCCTCAATGGAGATTCCTCACAGAATCCAGAAACCTCCCCTGCACCGACACAGCTGCTAGGTTCACTGACAGGCTGCAGCAGGCAGTGTGAAAGCACGGACAGGAAGCAGAGACCCAAGGGCCACTCAGAGGCAGGGTGGTCTGGGCTGCTGACGAGCTGTGGGCTGGATATTGCCCTTGGCTTCCCTAGTGGTCTGTCAGACACTCACCAAGAGCTGCTGGAAGCCACCTGAGCACAATGTGGTGTGAACATGCTTAGTCACTCAGTGGTTCTCCACAATCAATGCTGTTGTCATCACCCTGTTTTGCAGAGGTGGAAACAGGCTTAGAGAGCCCAAATAACTCACTCAAAGTAAGGAGGCAGATACCAGAGCTCTCCAGCCACCTGTAACCCTCAGGGCTGGTGTGTGGGAACCTAAAATGACCTGGCCTGAACCCAAGGTCTTAGCTGCTGCCCTCAGCATCCGCTTAAGATGCTCTAGGTCCTTGTTGCCCTGTCTCTTTGCCTTTTCTCTTCCTTCTTTGGCTTTTCAAAGAGATCCGTCTTTCCTAGTTCTTTCTTACAGTCTCTCTGTCTCCTTCAACTTGGAAGATGTGTGCCTCATGTTGAGCTTATCTCAAGCTCACCGCCATGACTCAGTCACCTCCTGGACACCTGAGCACAAATTGTCTGAGGCTCAGTGGCTGAGCCCAGATTAGCTAAGCCTGGATTTGCTGCACACCTTGGCCCAGTGATCAACAACCAAGCCTAAATGGTACAAAGATGGTGACCAGGAGTTTAGATCTTTCCCTCAGGAGTTCTGAAGACTTCCTAAACAGAGAAGTGATGTGATGGGGATATACTGGGAGGTAAAAGGCCCTGGGGAAAATTTATTAATTCAATAATAAATTGAATTTATTGTTAGATTTCATTAATTTCAAAAAACATCCATTGGGCCCTATTTCTGGCCCAAGCTCTCCTCTTGATCCCAGGGACTTGATGGTAATGACACCAAGGTGCTTAGCCCCAAAAGTCCATAGTCCCTTAGTCTATGGTGCATCAGGACTTAGTGTAGCTCCAGGACATCTGTGTCTCCCTGGGAATTACAAATTGGAAAATCTTTTGTGTCTGAGCATTTTTCCAGCAAAGGGATCCTTCAATTTCATCTGCTTTTGTTTTAACTTTTGTTTGTTTTTTTTAAGACAGCTTTTTTGGCCAGGCTGGCCTTGAACTTGCAATCCTCCCATCTCAGCCTCTTGTGTAGCTGGGATCACAGACAGGCACCGGCACATTCAGCATCATCTGATTTTTAACACAGACTTAACAGCTCATGCTCTGGGGTCAGACTGACCTGGGTTAAAATCCTGGCTCCACCTCTTGCTAGTTGTGCAAGTCCAAGTTTCCTCCTCTGGTTGATGGAGTTAGTAATACTTAATAGGGTAACTGTAAGAATAAGAGAAGGTATTACAGAGTGTTTAGCACACAGACTCAACAAATGGCAGCTCTTGGGCTGGAGAGATGGCTCAGTGGTCTAAAGCACCTACTTAGAACAAGTTCAGCGAAGCACAGGGACCACGGTTCAATCCCCCAGCACCACATGCCAGCCCGCCCCCTGGTGGGCTGAGCTGGACACACACACACACACACCACTCTCTCTCTCTCTCTCTCTCTCTCTCTCTCTCTCTCTCTAATAAAAAAAAATTAAAAAAAAAAAACAAACGGCAGCTCTTAAGAACCACTAGCATCATTGTTATGAAAGCAACACCCAGCCCTGTAACCATGTGAACCACGGTCAACTCAGGACTCACCAATTATGGCTTGCAAGTGACATTCAGCCTGCTGCCTACTTTTGTGAATAAAGTTTTATTGAAATGCAGTTATGCCCACTCATTCATGTGTTATCCAAGCTACTCTTGTGCTGCACTCCAACAGAGACTGCATAGCCTTCAAAGCCAAATTATTTACTCTCATTTATGGAAAGAGTTTGCCCACCTCTGGGCTTGCTGATTTCCTGGAAATTGTTTCAATTCCCTGGGCCTTAGTTTTCACATATGCACAATAAATGGATTTAAATAAATTATTTGTAGCTTAAATAGTCATTAAATGACTACTGAGGTGTGAAAATGGTCTTGAATGTGAAATTATTGTGATGATCATTGTTGCTGGTTTCTCACTAAATCCTCCTCTCTCCTTATCACAGATCCTGGCTATAATTTCCATTATGTTCATCGTCCTCTCCACCATTGCCCTGTCACTCAATACACTGCCTGAGCTGCAGAGCCTTGATGAGTTTGGCCAGAACACAGACAACCCGCAGCTGGCCCATGTGGAGGCTGTGTGCATCGCGTGGTTCACCATGGAGTACTTGCTGCGATTCCTCTCCTCGCCCAAAAAATGGAAGTTCTTCAAGGGCCCACTCAACGCTATTGACTTGCTAGCCATCTTGCCATACTACGTCACCATCTTCCTCACTGAATCCAACAAGAGTGTGCTGCAGTTCCAGAATGTTCGTCGTGTGGTCCAGATCTTCCGCATCATGCGCATCCTGCGCATCCTCAAGCTTGCACGCCACTCCACTGGCCTCCAGTCCTTGGGCTTCACTCTGCGCAGAAGCTACAATGAGCTGGGCTTGCTCATCCTCTTCCTTGCCATGGGCATCATGATCTTCTCCAGCCTTGTCTTTTTTGCAGAGAAGGATGAGGATGACACCAAGTTCAAAAGCATCCCAGCCTCTTTCTGGTGGGCCACCATCACCATGACAACAGTTGGGTATGGAGACATCTACCCCAAAACTCTCCTGGGGAAAATTGTTGGTGGTCTCTGCTGCATTGCTGGGGTCCTGGTGATTGCTCTTCCCATCCCCATCATTGTCAATAACTTCTCTGAGTTCTATAAGGAACAGAAGAGGCAAGAGAAAGCAATTAAACGAAGAGAGGCTCTGGAGAGAGCCAAGAGGAATGGCAGCATTGTCTCCATGAACATGAAGGATGCTTTTGCACGGAGCATTGAGATGATGGACATCGTGGTTGAGAAAAATGGGGAGAACATGGGTAAAAAGGATAAAGTACAAGACAATCATTTATCTCCCAACAAATGGAAGTGGACAAAGAGGACACTGTCTGAAACCAGCTCAAGTAAGTCCTTTGAAACCAAGGAGCAGGGATCCCCTGAAAAGGCCAGATCATCTTCTAGTCCTCAGCACCTGAATGTCCAGCAACTAGAAGACATGTACAACAAAATGGCCAAGACCCAGTCCCAACCTATCCTCACTACCAAGGATTCAGCAACACAGAGCAAACCAAAGGAAGAACTTGAAATGGAGAGCATCCCCAGCCCTGTAGCCCCTCTACCAACTCGTACAGAAGGGGTTATTGACATGCGAAGCATGTCGAGCATCGATAGCTTCATTAGCTGTGCCACAGACTTCCCCGAAGCCACCAAGTTCTCTCACAGCCCTCTGGCATCACTCCCCAGCAAGCCTGGGGGCAGCACAGCTCCAGAGGTGAGCTGGCGGGTGGCTCTGGGTGCCAGTGGTGGGAGGCTTGTGGAAGCCAACACCACCCCCGATGCCAGCCATCACTCTAGTTTCTTCATTGAGAGCCCCAAGAGCTCCATGAAGACCAACAACCCTTTGAAGCTCCGAGCGCTCAAAGTCAACTTCATGGAGGGCGATCCCAGCCCTCTCCTCCCTGTTCTGGGAATGTATCATGATCCCCTTAGGAACAGAGGGGGCGCTGCAGCTGCTGTCGCTGGACTAGAGTGTGCCACGCTCTTGGACAAGCCTGTGCTGAGCCCAGAGTCCTCCATCTACACCACAGCCAGTGCTAGGACACCACCCCGCTCACCCGAGAAACCCACAGCAATAGCATTCAACTTTGAGGCGGGTATCCACCAGTACATCGATGCAGACACGGATGATGAGGGGCAGCTGCTGTACAGTGTGGACTCCAGCCCTCCCAGGAGTGTCCGAGGGAGCGCCAGCCCCAAGTTCAGCATCGGCTCTAGATCGGAGAAGAACCACTTCGAAAGCTCCCCCATACCCACCTCCCCTAAGTTCTTAAAGCAGAACTGTATTTACTCCACTGAGGCATTGACTGGAAAAGGCCCCAGTGGTCAGGAAAAGTGCAAACTCGAGAACCACATCTCTCCCGATGTCCGTGTGTTGCCCGGGGGAGGAGCTCATGGGAGCACACGGGACCAGAGCATCTGAACTCCCCACCGCAAAGGGGACACTGTGGGCAAGGTCCAAGGAGGACGGCTGTTCAGCTTACCTGCCACAGAGCTTCTCTTCATGAACTCAGAAACAGAAAAGCTCTGCAACGCTCCCAGGAAGAAGAGAGACTCATGGAAGTCCCCTGAGACCTGGAGAACCATGACAGGTCCATCACCATGGAATTGGCCAAGCTTTGGGGACAGTGCCTCCTTGTAATAATTCCACTGCCCTCTTTGGGAGATGATAAGCGGAGCTCACAACCACCACTACCACCGGTCTAGACCTAACTGAGGCCACCAATCCCCACCCTTCTCTTGTGGCTTCTCTATCACAGCCTCTAGGGACAATATTTCCATCCTTTCTTGGCTTCAGTTGGAGAAGGATGCTGGAACAAGTGGCTGGTATTGAAAGAGTGCATTTGACCAATTTGGTATTAAGTGTCGCCTGGCCACCTCTAGGAAGACCTGTCCATCACCTCTTGGATCCCACTGTTAGAAGGCCCCAGGGCACACTTGTGTCTTGGGGAAATCGCGCCATACGCCACGATCCCAGAGCAAAACCCTTCCTCAAATGACTTCATTGACTTCAGTATTCCATAGTACCTGAGATTTTATTTTGAGATACCATCAGGGTGAGTTGCACCATTTGTACTCGATTCTTATTGCCCTCTGGCAATCTGGGAAGGGTTCAGAAGGCGGGCACGCAGCCAATGGGATGAACTCCGCATTGCTTTAGGGTTATAGAAAGAAAATAATTTCTGTACATCGCTAGAGTAGACTCAAAAGATATCCAAGTGTCAAATATGCAAAAGAAATAGCTTATTCAAAGAGACTCTGTGTTACTGAAGAACAGCATAAAAATCTGATTTTCTTTTTTACCTGCAAAAATGAAAGGAAAAAAAAAAAAAAACCACCCCTCGTTAAATGCCCCACCCAGACTTTTGAATACTTCCTGCTGCAGCAGGGAAAGCACCTATTATAATAGAAATTCATTTTGTTTCCTGTGGTATTCAAGCTAAAAGAAATTTAATAAAAAGCACTTTATGTTTTTCAAATATAGGTTCTACCAGGGACAGTGTCACCGTTTTGCACTTTAAAACAAGCACTATTCCCCATGGGCCACCTGTTGACGCTGTATTTGGGTTGTTGCTACAGGCCCATGTTTCAGCCACAGTGGGCGTCATCCGAGTCCGTGGGCTCCTCCCCTGCCCCTCTGGAACGTCCCCTCACCCTCATGGGCCAGGAGGGGTTCCCAGCCCTGGATTAGGGCCTCTCCTAAAGTCACCTGCACAGGAGACATGCACATCTCAGAAGGTCCCAGCAACGGTTGGGCATTGGGTGTTTGTTCATTCTTGTCAACTAGCCATTGGTGTGGTTTCAGTGTCAGTCTGTCCTCCAAGCTCAGCTCTCCTTCCTGCAGCCATCAATGCAGACAGTACAGACAAAAGCAATAAGTATTCGTGCATATCCTGAGCGGTTCTGGTGTGTTTCTTGATGTTGGTCTTCCTGTCCTCGTTTGATGATCTGCTATCATCCTGCTTGCTTTTACTCCAACGTCATGGTGTTGTTGGTCATTCCTCAGTACAGCGACACCAGGTTGAGCCACTAATTAACACAATGTTGTTGTACTGGTTCATGTGTCAGTAAAGATACTCTGTTTTTTCATCTGCCTGTCTATGGGAGCAATGTTGTTCTCTCAGTATATACTGTTGATGGATGATGTCCCAGGTATAATAGTGTAGTTCTGCCTGGCTTCAGTACAGTGACAGGCATCTGTCTTCCTTGTCAAACAAAGACATTGTGTTGGGTCACTTATCTTTAGTGCAATCTGTTGCTGGCCTGCCCATTAGTATAATGGTGCAATCCACCCGTCCATACACAAATGTCACATTGTTGTGACATTGCCCTTAAAAATGTGTGCTCTCTGCTGCCTCCGAAGTAGCCAGTTTGTGGCACTTCTCAGCCTCTCCAGGGATTGTGGATCCTCTCAAAAGGGTGTGATCCTTTATCTGCTGTGTTAACAATGAAGAGGCAAACTTGACTCTTCTTGGGATCTTCAGAGCCCTCACAAGCAGACGTAAAGGAACTGAGGGACAGGGAGAGTGAGTGTGGGCACAGGTGGGCACCCCGAGGGGAAGCACAGTGCTTCCAAAACACTTTGCTGAGTGCACAGTCAGGTTGGGGCCTTTGAGGAGTGACAGTGGGACAGTTCCCCGCTGGTCTCCTTCTTTGTCTGTTTTCATCACCATTTCTGTCCATCAGCACAAATGTGAAAATTCAGGGAAAACAAATGCTTTTTGATAAAAGTAAATAGTTGTGATTTCCGATTCAAATATTTTTAGAGCTGATGCTATCTGTAAAAATTAATAATAATATAGTCTATTTTACATATCAGGAAAGTGAACATGTTTCAATATAGCCATATGTAGTGAGAAGGAATTTACCACCCCTTCTTCAAATCAAGGCATTTCATTGTTGGTTAAAGCAGATGAGACGTGTACAGATTGGAAATGATTTCATTTTTTTCTTCCTTTTTTTTTTTAATGAATAACCAACTGGTGCAACTCTCCTTGTAACCAAAGGCCCTTTATGCCTTCTGTCACGTAGGACCTGGCCCTTCTTTCCTCGTGTGTTTTGTCTGACCTAAAGTAGCATTTTACTGAGTCACTTTTGAAGGACGAATTCAGAAGTATCATTAAGAACCTACCTTTTCAGGCTTCGTAGCCAGAGTCCTATAGAGTTCTTATAGAAACAGAATCATTGAAAATCAGCATATACTATGCTTAGAAAGTATTCCGTTTTGGTTTGGGTTTGGTTTTTTCTTTTACTTGTTTGTGTATGTATTGCAGGAATATAACTTTTGCCCTGCCTGCATTCAATTCAAAATGCATATTGTACATTTTTCCAGCACCCAACCCACCCACAAAAAAAAAAAGAACATATCCAGATTTGTAATGTGCATACACCCAACCTGTACGTGTGTACAGGTACGTAATGCACTGGGAAATCTACCGAAGGTCTCCACTGAGAAGCAGAACTCCGTAGCTGATCTTGGTATAAAGAAGAAAGCTGTAGTTGAAGGCAAAGACTACTTTAGCTCTGTCATCTCCACTCATTGCTGGGCTAGCCAGAGCAAAAAGGAGCAGGTTGACCCACGGAAACAAGATGAAGGGCTGAGGTGGGTGGAGGCCTGGTCCCTTTGGCGAATACACTGAAATTCATCATGAACTTGAGTTCCAGCTTCCACCACTCTCAGAAAGGGCTAGGGACCAGGTTCTGGTCACACAGGAGAGTCCAGTTATCAGGAAGAGGACTGGTCAAGGTGTGGAACAGCTGGTTCACACACCATTTTGTCACTGGGTCAAAACAAACAACTGGTCTTCGGTGCAGTAGATTTCTCAGTGCCTTCTTTAGGAACTCTATCTTAAGCACACTTTAAGGGAAAGAAAAAAAGGAGAGAATGTGTGTTTTCATGAAGCCCCTTCCTCTAAAAAGATCAGGAATCAAGAAGAAGAAGAAGAAGAAGAAGAAGAAGAAGAGGAAACAAAATCCTGAGGTGGCTGTTTTCTTTCCACCTGCTCAGCTTGCCCTGGTCATTGCTGATGATAGAAACTCTTCAAACTGTTTCCTGAACCTCTCCTCATTGTGTCTTGGTAGTTGTAGCCTTGTCTCTGCCCCTTCTCCTGAAAAGATCCATGTTTCTAAGGGGGGGAGGGGACAGTATTCTCTTCTGTAAAACTGTAATGTATTGTTGATATTTGTAACTATTGTATATTTCTGTCTTGCTCCGGTCATGGCTGGAATGTCTACTCCATGAGCAAGGGGACATTTACAATTCACCATGGATAAGGGTCACTAAAGCCAGCGTGCGCGCTCTCTTTCTCTCTCTCTCTCTCTCTCTCTCTCTCTCTCCTTTTTTTTACTTCTCTGCCAACTTGTCTCAAGATAACCCCAGGCTTTTCAGCCTCAAGTCAAGTAAATTTGAATCAAAGAAGGACACAATAAAAAGCCTCCAGGACATGCGCCTTTGGGGACATTTTTTTCCTGTAGCCTTGAAGTTGGCTGGAGAAAGAAGGGGGCTCCCCAGAGCCCCCCTGAAGGACAATTGAAAGCTTTCAGGCCCAAGATGGCTTTTCCTCACCTACCACTGCTTCTATGACAGTGTCCAAATGCTTTAGCGTCACCCAGCCAAGGCCACCTGAACCACCCCTGGCCACACACAGAAATAATGTTACCTCTGCATTATTCTTTGCCATTTTTCTGGCTCTAAAAGTCTCTGGTGTGTGACTACATCATAGGATGTCCACACATCTCAGAGTAGCTATTTTTCTGTTCAGACAATGTATATGCATTTTTAGCAAATTTTAATAGGGCAGTTATGTCTAATTTCTTCTCTGATGATACAGGATAATATCTTAGGAGTTTTATTGTTGGTCAGTGTCATAGTGGATATTTTCTGGGTTTTTTTTTTTTTTTTCATTTCTCTCTATAGCCTCTTTGGCTGTTTTTTCATTTCTTTTGGAGTCTGATTTTTCGGAGGTAGGGAAGACTTTAGGGCTTGACTTCTGGCATAGGGATTCCCTGGCCCTGGGAAATGTCTGTTCTTTGCCCATCCAGTCTGTTTCTCTTCCTCGTGGTCCTTAAGAGTCCAGGGCACAGAGGCATGAATGAGGCAGGAATGCTGGCCTCAGACTCAGGGTGGGACCTAGGCCACTTGAGCTCCTTCCCCACACCCTCCAGAGATCTGAAGGGATTGTTCACTTATCCCCAGAAATCTTGGGTCCAAAAGGCTCATGTGCAAACTTGCTGCTCGTATCTCTGAGACCTAGAACCCTCCCCAGTACCAACTGACCCAACTACTGTCACATCTTCCGCCCTGCACTCCTCTACCTGCAGTCGTACCTGAGGACCAGAGCATGTTCAGGTTCTGGCAAACCTCAGATCTCATCAACTTCTTATCAGTTCCTCATTTCAATCCATTTTTAACAGCCTCTGTGAAAGGGTAGCCAGGACGCCCTTGTAGCCAACACAGAAGCGATGTTCCAGAATCTTCTAGCTCATTCCCCTTTCCCTTTCCAGCTGCTGGATCCATGAGGTGTCTTGCAAAAACAGCAGTGCTTTTCCAGTGTCCACCTTTCCAGGTGTTGGAGGGGTTTTGGACTGTCCTGATAATTTCATGAGATGGTGTCCAGCCTCGGGTAGGCCAAGAACATCTCACTGAATGGGATCTTCAAGGGCAAGTGATCTCCATCTGTCAAGTCCTGCAGGATGATAAAGGAGGGGCAGAGGCTCTCCAGCCTGCATTCATCCAAGCTTTCATCTGCCACTTGCCTGTCTTTGGCTCTGGGTTCTGCCCGGTTTCTGAGATTTGAACCAAACCAGGACTCCTAGACAGCAGCAAACCGTCCTCACAGGATCAATCCCAAGAGGAAGCCAACTGAAGTTTTCTTTATTATTCTGAATGAAGACTCTAAGCAGCTTTCCCACCTCCAAAATTCTTGGTGATCCAGTATGAACCAGACCCAAATAAAACAGACAAAAGATTTTAAAAACAAAACAAAACTTTTGCCTAAGAGTAACAAAACTGAGGCTTTCTCTTCCAGTAGTTTCCCAGGTTCAGTGCCTGGATACACAAACACCCCTGCCTGTGGTTGTCCTCATTAAGGAAAAGGTTATGTAGCCTGAGTTTCCATCCACAGTCCCTGACATTATCTTAACCTCATTTTTCTCCTGAATTTTCCAAGAACCTGAGCTCCTGAAGAATCAGTTTTGAAAGGGGCTATTCATAGAGCAAACACAGCTCCTTGTCTCTAACTCTAACTTTATTTTTCCCACCAAGGATGCTGAAGAGATCTAAATCCTGGCCAGGATAGTGTAGAGTGATGCAGTTGATCTGAAGAAGAAGCTCCCCCATCCCATCTGCCAGGTGGCTATACACAGGCAGGTCCCTGAGGTTTACTCTTGTGGGACAGGGACGGGGAGGTTGACTTTAGCTCAAAATAAGGAAGTCCATCTAATAGGTTAGGGTGTCTACCCAGGAAGTCCAGTACCAGGGTGGGTAATGAGCTTTCATCCTTAACTCCACAAGTATTTAGAGGGAGCCTGGTTGAAATGCAAAGTGGGTGTTGCAAAGTGTTCCTGGCCTTGCATGGAGACTGAACTGAAAATTGAAGGACGTTCCCTCCACATCCTGGTGTGTGTGTACGCGTGCATGCGTGCGTGCATGTGTGTGTATGTAGCTTGTACATTGTGAGCACAGACTCAAGGCAAGGATGGAGTACTGTCATCCAGAGCTCAGGTTCTAGGATTCAGGGCCTTTTGGAGGGGATGCCAAAGCAGGAAGGTGGCAGTAGGGCACCCTGCTTCTCTCCTGCTCCCCGCCTCACTCCCTGTCAATCACCCTTCCAGCCCAATGCCAGTGTGCTACAGGGACCACACTGAGATGGGACACACACTGCCCTTCCCCAGGCCAGCCAAGGAGCAGTCCACAAAATTCCCCCTCTGGTCAGCCACCTCACGGTGCTTAACCTTCTGCCCAGACTCTGTGCCCTCAGAGAGGCACAGTGACCTTTTATCCACTAGCAGCCACCCACTGCCCAGGCAGTCACAAATGGCATCACTCCAAAGGGCTCTACCCACAAGTAAAACAGGAGATCTTATTTAGGACCTTCAGAAATCTCTACCTACCATATAAATTCGGAGGCAAAAGAAGAGGTGGCCACAATCAGCTTTACAGCAAAGCAAGGCTTCAGCTGCCTGCAAGCGGAGTGCTTGTGCCCCCAGCCCTCACATCTGTTCCTACTAGACCTGCCTCCTGCTTTCTCTGTGGCCTGGGAGCTCATGTGTGCATGGTGGCTTTGGAGGAGGTGGGACTTCAGCATCAGGGTGAGCCCCAGTCCAGACAGTACAGGGTAAGGCAGGCCGATGTGTTTGCATGGGCAGAGTGCACAGCCGCCTTCCTCCAAGCATCAAATAAAATGAGAATCAGTTTCCCAAGTCTCACTCTGTGGAGGCTCTGCCCTGGAGAAATTGCTCAAGATGTAAGACTACTGTGCTGGGATGGTTGGGGAAGACATGCGCAATACCCAATTCTGTCCCCTCTGGATGTGCTCCATTCTCACAGGCCTCACTAGTCACTTCCTGCCCCTGGGATAAGCCAGGCTGGAATGAAAGGGCCAAAGTTTTGGGTCCCTCGTCTGCATAGCTCTCAAGTCCTGGGCCTCCCTGAGGCTTGGGGCCATCCCTGAGATGGGCTCACCAGCCAAAAGCAGGGTATGCAGTAAGCAGGCGGGCAGTGGGCGCCTCTCTCTCCAAATCTCCCTTGACTTCAGTCCAAGCTCAAGGGCTGGGAGCCCCCTCTCTGTATCAGGAACTCAGGGTTATCTGCCAGCATGTGCCCTGGGAACCAGTAGTCACTCTACATGTGTTGTGTTGAGTGTTTGGGGAATGACTGATGGGTGAATGAGTGTGTGGGGAAGGGGAGATTGAGTCAGTGAGTTCTTCCTTGGCTGTTGTACTGCTAACTAGGGGGAAGGAGAATGGGAGCCCCTCCCCTCTCCCTGAAGACCATAGATGCCCCACCCATACCACCTGTTCTTGGACACAGTCTGGGATCACAGTGACATCCAAATTTGACCTTTGTAAGCCCCAACCTGGTAAGGGTCACAACTCTCCCTCAGAGCCTCCCTGCAAGGGGCTACAGGGGCAGCCAGCCTCTTCCCTTCTTTCCTGCCTGGCAGTTGCAGCCTTACATGGTAGCTTGGCTCATGCAGCCCATGGAGACCACAGAGCAGCTTCCTAGTGGGCCGAGCCAAGGATCCCGAGTGGGGGCTTCCTGGGGTCTAGGCTTTAACGGTGCAGGAAGGTGGGCACATACACCTGGAACTGGAGCGCATTCCCTGAGCCATGAAGCCCAGCTGCATGAGAGCACCAGCCTGTCCTCCTGCAGTTAGATCCAATGGTCTCCTTTTCCCTGAGCCCTGAAGCCTCTGCGACAGCATATGCCCCAGTGGCATCAGCTAAGACCCTCTGTCCTTTCTAGGAACCCATGGTGTGAGGTTGGGGGCTCTTCTGCCAGCAAAGCCATTCTGACCACCCCACCTGTGATGGGGACCAAGCCAATCACATTAGCCATAATCGACTGATGTCCTCAGCCACTGTTTTCTCGAGTCGCGTTTGTGGGCCCTGTTCATTTTTCATCTGTTGGCGTCTCTAGTCCTTCCTGTAATGGTGAAGATAAGCATTGGGCGTGCATGCGCTCATACACACACACACACACACACACACACACACACACCAAACAACAAAAAACCCAGTGTCTTTTTTTGCATGTAGTGAGATGAAATTGTGATCCTTGTGTGACCTCCAGCTGCTGTCCTGTCTTGTAAAATACGTCCAAATGTTTGAGAATTTCTAAGCAAATGGTCCCTTAATGAAGTTTGCAGAGTTCAATAAAAGGTATGGAGAAAACAAGCTTGGTGGTGTAGTAGTGTTTATTTTCTGGAGGATGCAGGGAAGTAAGG